ACACACACACACACACACACACACACACACACACACACACACACAAAAGTAAACGCAACAACCCGGACAATAAATTGTACATGAAATTACACATTCAATTTATATAGATGCGGAATGGGTCATAAATTCGGGATTATGTAGTCACAATGTTCTTGATCAAAGTAGAAAGCGTACAAATTCTTCTCGAATAAAATTTTGCAACGCAAACCAGATACAGAAAAAAAATTGAAGATGGAATTCACACTGGATATTCTCTGTACGGATTAAGTTGTTGCAAGTTAAAATGTTAATGTTTGGTTGGGTCGAAGCCTTAAAAATATCCACGAAAGATTCATCCATTTTTGCCAAAACGAATTTTCCTGTTAATTATGTGTAATGCGAACACGAAATATGTTATTGCTACACTGGCAAGTGTGCACGTGGCGCTGGTTGACTGCATCGTTGCACTCCTCGCACCACTGTTGACTGATTACTGTGGTAGCCCTGACATACACGTATGCGACGAGTGATAAAAGTGCCTCTCATAAAAAAAACAACTTTCAATTAATCCATTAGGTTGATTTTAGTGCGATGTTGGGATTTTTTTTCTCGTTCGGTCCTTTTTCGCGTTCGTTGCTGGTCGTTGTTGTCATCGTTGCACAGTTGTGTGAGTTCAGGCGTGGCTCAATGAAATTAGCAAAAATGACGAAACTTCATTCCCACATTTTGTGTATATATGGGCGCTGTTGAAAATAAGCTGCTTCTTTTTGCAAGAAATCATTTTCCGTTCGCGCTCGCTCTCGCACTTACGATGAGCTCATGCACTTGAATTGAAAATGTCAATGGGTCTTGGAATTTTGTTGCAAAGCAACACTGTCACTAATATTTCGTAGAAATTGCCGAAAATTTAATTAATTATTACTTAATACGATTGAAATCCGATTAGGTTGCCGAAACCGTATTTTTTGTGAATGTATGTGTGCTTTTCGTTATAGGTATATCTTTCATTTCGTTTTTTGTTGTTGTTGTTGTTGTTGTTGTTGTTGTCTTCGTCATCTTCTCAGTTTGTACGTGATGCTACTACTGCTTTTGTATCTAGCCAACTGCTAATGAAATTAATCAATTTCACTCTGACTCAAATGCGTTCACAGCAGTGAACTCACTACAGACAACCAGAAATTATTATGATTCATTTATTCGTGGCGAGATGAAGGGAATTATTTACTAGAGTAGATGGCATTCATTTCCAAATGCACGTTTCCACAGTGAAATGACGAATTCCGCTGGAGTTTCGTTGCCTTCGACCTAATACCAGATGTGTGATAATATTTCCATGAAAACCATAAGCAGATTGAGTGTGTGCGTGTGTGTGTGTTTGTTTTAGGTCTCTTTTTGCGCTTCAAGCAAGCACACACACATACACCACTCATATTGTTTATTTACAAATGAAATACGTCTCACAATATGGCTGAAGATGGTGCTTTCTATGTATTAGCAGGTGGCATTACTGCCAGCCATCCCGCATAAGTTGCACGCAAAATTAAACAAACATAACTCTTGCAATCTCTCGTTCCTTTCCATTCGTTTCATTTCAGTTTTCGAGTTCGTTAAGCTCACTTAACTAGAAAGTAATTTAATGGCTTGATGAAAGTGCATCTTTTTCCAATATAGCAGCAATTGATCGGCAAACTGCATTTCCATCATTTTGGAAACTGTGCCAACAATTTAAACGGTGTTTATGGTACAAAGTCGATTTTTTTTCGCATTTTCTGAATATATTTGAACCATATCTGGTTGAGTTCAAAGAAGAAAAAAAAATAGAAATTGGGTAAAATAGAAAAAGGTAAAATAGAGAAGCGGAAACACCAAGTAACAAAACGAGAAATTTTCCTCATTTCTAAGAGAAACACACACTTTTGTGTTAGCCCACACATAAATGTTAAAGTTTATTAGGAAAATTGATAAATTTTACTTCCTATCTTTGTTAAACATTACAATTTCATTGTTCCATTTCTTTTTTTTTTCGGTTTAATCTAACGATTCATTTTCTTCCATTGTTTTTTTCCTCTTTCTCTTCAGACAAATGCCGTCGATGCAGGTTCGAGTCATTCGTCATCGAAGAAAGGTTCGCCGATTTTAACGCATTTTTCACCGCGCAAATCGAAGGATCGTGCAGCGCACAATTTAGGTGGTAGCCTGCAAAAGAAGGATCGTACTTCGGACAACGCAAAAATGACGGCTGTTTCGATGAATCGTACGGAAACACCGTTGAAAAGTATGCCCGGTGGTGATGTAATCAGGTCGTGTCCAATGGCGGTTGTCGATAAATCTCGTTACGAGATGAAATCGGTGATCATCCCGTTGCGTAACACCACCACCGCTACTAATAACAGCAACAGTGGATCGGCAACGGTACGTGGTACGATGATGGATCAAACGACAACGAATCGCCAACCAATTACATCCGGCCATTCGTATAGTTCTGATTCAGATATTGTGCCAAACGCGACGACGACGACGACGACGACGACGACAATGACCACATCATCGGCAACGGCGATGCGTCGTTTATACTTCAAAAGCGCCAAATTGAGCAAAACCACTCAAAATAGTATAACGACAGTGCATCAGCAGCAAGCTCAACATGTGCCAAAGGTAAAATATTTAAAGGAAAAACGAATTTGCGTTCACTTAATTCAAAATTTATTGAAAATTAAATGGTAACAATCATGTTCATTCGTTCACCCGAAATAAAACAGGTAATGGTGATGGGAACGTCGGTAGCATCATCAAATGCCGAAACCACAATCAATACATCAACCGAATCGGCATCTACATTGGCAACAAATGTGACTGGAACAGATACATCGACTTGTGACTCGCTCGATTTGGGTATGTTTAAAAAATTTGAGACATTTCTCCCGCTCCCCTTCTTCACGAAATTCCCGAATAAACAATAATAAATTGAGCGGTGGAAGGGTGAGAGGTTTTGAAATGGGAATCAGCCAAAGAGATAGAGAGAGAGAGTGATACGGTTTATTTGAAGTGCAATAATTAAATTGGTATTTATCGTTTGCTGTGTGCATATACATTTTCAGGTGATACGACTGGTCAAGTGGAACCGTTGCTAAGTTCGTTTGATGAGCCCGTACCATTGACGGCGATCCCTGCAAATGCCATGCTAAAACGGTTGGATGAGGAAGAAAGTGCTTTGATCGAAGAGTATGATACGGACGCGGATACGGACATCGATTCACATCATCACCGCCAGCAAGAGGATGAAGATGCGAAAATTCCATTGTTAACAAGTCCAGAGGTAAACACAGTTATTTTTCAAACAAACCACCATCGCAAAAACCAGTAAATAAAGCAGCAATGTTCACCTGGAAAATTGAAAATTTATTTGCTATTTTGCGCTAACGAAATCATATTGTTTCCATTCGATTTGATTCGCATCGGAAATAATTTCTGCAACTTTTCAACCACAAATGAAAGACCATTCAAATTGAAATTGCGAAATGGAGGGAGAAACATTCACAAAGAACAGTGTAATGGCATTGAAGAGGGGGGGGGGGCATCAACGTACAATTACGCATTGCAGTTCGAACCACCCTAAGTACCGAATGAACGGCTGAGTGAATGAGTGAATGAGCAAGACTGTAGCGATGAGATCAATGCAAATAAAAACTCGTTTCACCCAAAAAAACAAATGTTGTTTGCTTGTGTGAATGCTTTTTGATAGAATGGTTTTGATGGGTTTCCCTATCAAAATTTCCTCAAGCAAAACTACTGACTCTTCAGCACAACATTCACATCCATTCGACCCGAAAATGGAAATGCAATCAACACTGAGAGAGAAATAGATAGAAATGGAGAGTTATTCTCTCAGCAAAGTATATTCTGAACTTGAATGCATTTTGGCATTCTCATCATTTCCATTTCCATTTTGTCGATTAAAGTTTATTTCAATTTAGATTTCACTGTAATTCTACCCAGATAATAATCTATAATAATAATTTGATTTGAATGAAAACGACGATGTCGACGACAACGACAACGAAAAAACAAGTGCTAATTGTAAACAATTTGGAGAAGAACAGCAGTACACATAAAACCCGACTCATTGCAAAATCGTGGTATTTGATTCGATGCATAAATTTTTTTTAAATTGGACCATTTTCATTGAGTTGTTTGTTTTAGGGAAGCTTCCATTTTTTTTAATTGGCCAGGATTTTTAGTATGGCCAATCTACTGAGTGCAAAGAATATTACTTCGTTTCGTATGTTCAACAAAGTGATTATACCATTTGTGAATGGTGAAAGAAAGATGTTTTGACAAGTGGGTAATAAAAGAGGCCATTTCGTCTTGATGAAAGCGAAGCGACGAGATCAAAACAAATGATGGCAGTGGGCAAGTATGTATGTGTCTTCGTAGATGTTTGAATGAATTTGGTGATTCACGAACTGTGTGCTTTCTTTTTATCATCGTTTTTATCCCTGTAAATATGACGAATGACATAAACTGAATTATCAACCGTCTTTTGACTCAAATTATTTCCACTTGGCAGCAATTTAAAAAGGTTTCCCTTTTGCCATTAGTCCTTTTTTCTCCCACCAATTTCGACTCATGGCGAATGAAATTAAAACAAAATTAACGTACAAATGATTAGACATAGCATTTTTCCGGTTAGATTAGCCAACGCATTGCCTAGTTGAAATGGTACAGAGTTGAGCTCTCTAAGGGTGACACAGAAGAAGAAATGATTGAGAGAGAGAGAGAGAGAGAGAGAGAGAGAGAGAGAGCAACGAAGCGTGTCAAAGCAAAAATGCTGTCACGACTAACTGCTGCGACTCACAAAAACCCAACATTACCTTTTCGCGTTGAATTATTTTTTCTCGTTGGCCTAATTAATTCATACGAATGAGCAAATCATACGCTCATCATTTATCTCGAAAAGCCATTCTCCACATTGCTGAGATGGTCCCATTTATTTCCTTTTTTTTCCTCCCTTCGTTTGCATCGCAGTGAAGGTAACTGTCTCCTTATGCTTGTGCTCACCCGCAATGAATTCATGCCAATTTAATTCGGGTTTATTTGTCTCTTCCTTTTCACAAGCTGACGACACTTCAGTACAAACATCATTCAAGCGCTCGCAGCGCCATGAACTCTCGTATCATTTTGTATTGACTTTTCGATAGTTCATGAGTTCGCCGTAGACTTCGTCAAAACGTGTCGTCCCTTTGCCTTTTCATCTTTTCCGTGTTCGCTCCGGGTTTTTTAGCACTACATGAAATGTAGAGCTACTAATCTGCTCTTTTTTTTTCCTAGATACTTTTTGAGGGTTGAAACAAATTATGGTGAATTTGAATTTTATGCTCATATGTTTTATTTAATTTAAAACAGTGGCAGTAACGACGAATAAGTGCATAATATCTCAAAGCGCCAATCAAATTTTTATCATCAAATGTTGTTTAAAAACTACATTAATTTTTCGTATAATATTTTCTGAGTCTGGCCCAGAATTAAAGTGATTTTAGATGTTATGCTCATATTATTTATTTAATTTAAATCAAAGCAGTCTCAAGAGAAAAAATACTCTTCATTTCTGCGGTGTACGTATCGCTCACGCTATGCGTTCGCTCTTTTTCTGCCTTATTCACACTTACACTATATTCGTCATACAAAATAACGGCAGAATCTAAGTGTAGAACGCATGCGGATACACTAAACGTTCGCGCTTCTCACACCAATACTAATGCATACGGTCTAGCGTCAATATCGCTACACACAACTGAAGCGCACCGCATGCGTTCTACACTTAGATTCTGCCGTTGTTTTGTATGACGAATATAGTGTAAGTGTGAATGAGGCAGAAAAAGAGCGAACGCATAGCGTGAGCGATACGTACACCGCAGAATCGAAGGGTATTTTTTCTCTTGAGGTATATTTCAAAAATGAAATAAAACCAAGATCTTGTAATTCATTTTGCAAATAAATATATTACTTCATCGTTACTTTGATGAATTACATTTCATGTAGTGCGCCAAAAAATAGTTTGTTGTGAAACAACAAAATAGATGAAGTAACTAAAAACTCAAGAACGCAGATCGGAGTGAAGCGAAGCTCTGCGGTCTTGTTTTTTCTCTTCTTATTATTTACTTAAATTGTATGACAATTACTTACAATGCATAATTCGCTATTTTTATCCAACTCGTGTGCTCTCTCTCACTCGTTCTATGTCGCGATTCTTTCAGTGCACGCCAATTTTCATTTCTACGATTTCGAACAGAAAATTGAAATCGCGCAATGACGTTATGGTAGTTGGAATAAATGGGTGATGAAATGACATTTACTCAACAAGGATCTGGATAAATTTGCATTTAATTTGTAATTTCAATAGCGCTTCATTTGTTGGTGTGTGTGTGTGTGTGTGTGCTCTCTCTTTGTTTGTATTTCTTCCAATCATTTTGGCTATGTATGCGCGCTTGCGAACGCTTTTGTTCACCGTTGTTTTTCGCTTTAAATTTTCTATCGCAATGCAGAAATTGCATATAGTTGGTTGCAATTGAACAATGAGAATGGCGAAGAGACGGTGAAAATCTGATAAAAAGACAATTTTACGTCATCATAATGATATGCATTCCCGTTTCAATATATTTTTCATGCGTTCGATGCTTTATTTTCGCAACGGATTTTTTTCCCACTTGAATCGAATCATTTTCAATCATTACAAACCCAATGGAGTTCATAATTTACTTTG